TGATGTAATATCGTAACTATCTGAATAAAGCTCATGCCAATGGCCTAAGTGGTCACCTTTAATATTAAAAAAAAAAATAATAATAATAATAAAGAAATAAACTAAACAAAATAAATAAAATAAAGTAAAAATTTAATTTATAATATATTATTTCTTAGGGTGTAGTGACATAGTAATGTGGTAGAGTTGTCACATTCCCAAGCTAGTCTAATCAAAAGTACGAAGTTCAAATTTTACTAGCAATATTTCAGACAAAATTCTTTGTATTATGGTAACAGATTTTCATTGATTAGTTGAGTTAATTACTTGTAACTCCAATTATATCATTATTGTCAAGATACTGGAAAGTTCTAGAGCTTTCATGTTATATAAAAAAATACAAACCAGTCTAGGTGATACAAATCTATAATAAGTCTTTGGAACTAAAATATAAAACCAAAAGAAAACTAGAAGAACCAAAATCAGCTTGGCAAAGATCCAAGTTTAGGAAGTAGTAAAGATACAACAGTACTACAAAGCAGAATTGGACTAAACTAAGAAATTAAAAGATCTAAATAGCAAGACTCTTATAGATTTGAAGTTCTACTAATCTGGTTGCCAGAGTTATACCAGAGGAAAAAGACATGTGCTCTGAAAGCATGTACTAAGAAAAGAGAGACTATAAGGTACTTAAAGCCTAGACAAACCAACTCTGCCAGGCCAACTAGTTTGGAAGTTTGGTAAAACCAAGGACTTGGCTTGTTAAAAAAAAAGTAAAATAGGTATCCAGTTCAAGAATAGTGAATCTCTACAAAGGCAAAGTGGTTAAATAGGTTACAGTATATAAAGTTAAAGAGCTGCAAATTCATTAAATCCTATACTGTGAGATTAAGGACCTGGAACATTAATTAAAAGACTTAATAGCATAGTCACAACTACAAATGAGAGCTTCAATAACTGTGAAAAGGTAATTGTAAGTAGGTATACAAGAGCCTAAATCTAGATAAGATCTTGTAGCCATTCTAGTAAATTTGAATCTGAAGTAAATTTTGAAGTTATAGATATTTTGAATTATCAGATAAAGTAATTCTTAGATATAAATAGTTGATCATAGCTCTATTCTTATTGTATATTAAAAATTATATTAGGTATTCAATAGCTTGTAATAAAAAAGTTAACAATACATAATTAATAAAAACACATGAGATTGAGATTTTTTCTAAAAATAAATATATATATACTAGCTAAAAACCCATACAATAATGCATGGGGACAAATATATATAATCTAGAATTAAATTTTTTCAATTAAAATAAACTTGCTTTATTGCAAATACAAAAACCATCTCATGTTAATAAATTTAAATAATTATTTAGATTTTGTTTAATTGGGTAGATGTTTTTTATTTTAAAGATTTCTTGTGTCTAGCAGAAAAGTATTATAATTATTATTTGTTTTTTTAATAAGATAAGGTTTAGGTAGAATACATAAAAACTTTTTTTGTTCTACAGTATGGGACAGCAAGAAATATTTAATTTTTATATATAAAATATTAAAATGCTTATAACTTACAACAAATAACTTTAAAAAAAATCTGTTTTATAGAAATGTTGCTTTTAGTTTAAGCTATAATTCTGTTAAAATAGAGTTTTATTTTTATTATAAATTTAAAAAGTTATTAGAGCTTAAAGTTTATATATAATCAAAAATTAGGTGTTTAATATATAAAAATATTTGTTTATATAGATTTTTAATCAATCAGAATTTTGTTGCACAAAAGTATCTAATTAGATTTGAGTATAAATCTCAAATTTTGGTGCTTTTAAAAAAATAGTAGATGTTTTTTGCTGTTCTGTACTATAAAAAAATGTTTTAAATTATTTAATATATTTAACTAATATATATCAAAATACTATTGTTGGTTTAAATTTAATTAAATTTTGATTAATTTATATTATCGCAGCTGCTGAACCTAACTACAATGTGAGTTTCTTGTACTAGCAATGTAGCTGCAGTGATTAACTATCAAAAATAAAAGTTCTGTACTACTTGTAATAGCTATAGAGCCAAATTACAACATGAGTTCCTTGCATTGTCATCTTATCTATAGAGCCTATTCACAAGGTAAGATTCTTGCACTTTATCATAGCTATGATGCTTAATCAACAAATATAAGGCTCTTGCACTATCTGCAGTTGTTATAGAATTTAATCACAACATAGATTCTTGCATTAATATAGCAGCAATTATATTATAAATTTCTTGTACTGTTGCCTGTAGCAGCTATAGAGTCTAATCACAACATGAGGTTTTTGCATTATTACTGCTACTATGAAGCCAAATTACAATATGAATTTAAAAAAAAAAAAAAAAGATAAAATTCTATTCAAATATTGTTGAATTTATTTTAAAGGATAAGTATTTCTCATAATAAGAATTAGATATATTTTTTTTAAAAATGCTTAATCACCAAATGAGATTTTTGTATTGCTTGTGGCAAAGCAGATATAGAACCTAATTATAACTTGAGATCCTTGCATTGCTATCTCATGCATAGAGCCTATTTACAAGGTGAGATTCTTGTACTGCCATAATAGCTATAGTGCTTAATTACCAAATATAAAGTTCTTGTACTACTTGCAGCTGCCATAGAACCTAATCACAACATGGGGCTCTTGTATTGCTATTGTAGCAATTACATTATAAAGTTCTTGTACTGTTGCCTATGGCAGCTATAGAGCCTAATCAAAACATGAGGTTCTTGTATTATTATTGCAGCCACGGAGTTGAATTACAATACAATCTTTTTTTTAAAAAAAAGACAAAATTATATTCAGATGTTTAGATTATTATTTTAAAATATAAGCATATACTGTGTAAATTCACAGGAGGCAGGTTTGGTGATTTTTTTGGGTTGGCTCTTGCTTTTTACAAGAGCTGCAGTTTAAATTTTTTTTGAGTTTTTTTATACTATTATAGATCATGGAGAGGGAGTATTAGTTTGTATATATATTTTCTTCATATTACTTATTCTGTAGTTTCACAGATGTAAAATAGATATAGAAGTGTTGAGTATGAGTCACAGATCTTGTGATCAAGGTGTGTAAAAATAATTTGTAATTATATAACTAACTTAATTTTGGTAGATCATATAAGTGATCAAATCATATAACATTTGATAAAGGGTTTTTTTTGCAGTATACTTTATTTAAAAATCAGTTTGTATTAAACTGATTCGTGAAACTGCTGAAATCAAAAGATAAAAATCTCATAGGTTAGGAACTTATTGTGGAGACTTTGAAATTTTTTAGATTAAAGTGAATTTATTATATATTATTGATATAATTTATATACAAAAAAAAAAAAATAAGAATAATACTATATATGTCTTTTAATTAAATAAGAAAAAAAAAAGTAGTTGAGCTTAAGCTCATAGATTAAAAAGTTAGACTAAGTTGTTGAAAATACTTCAGGATATACAATGTTATTTGTTTGAAAAAGATTAGAATTTATATCAGTGCTACCAGGAAGGAGAACTTTAATAGAATAGTAGGAAGTAACTCTCGATAGAGCAACATATAATTGACTATGGAAAAAAATAGGTTCTAGTAGATAAAAACCAACTTGATTCAAGGTTTGGCCTTGAGATTTGTTAATAGTCATAGAAAATGCAGGGCATACAGGGAATTGGCAACGTAATAAAATAAATGATAAATTGGTGTCAGAAGGTAAAATTGTGATTCTAGGTATGAATATATGGCTATCAATATGAAAGCCTATACAAATTTCAGCATTGATTACTTTGTTATATAGATTATGACAAATTAATCACATTCTGTTGCATAGTCCTTTTGCAGGACTTAGGTTTCATAAAAGCATTATAGGTATTCTAATTTTTAATTTTAATTCACCAGGCAGAAAACTAGAAATATTCAAAGATCTTGGAAATTCGGGTGGGTATAAATGGGATTGTCTTATATCATCATCTTCCTGCGAATCAATAGAATCTGTGCTTAGATAGGTATGAATATCTCCAGGAAATTTATCTATTATAAGATAGGAAATTTTACTTGCATTATCATTTTTTGAAGTTAATATAGTTCTTTCAATTAGATAATCCATATTGGTAGATTGTTGAATAAAATCTGGAAAGAGAAAATCAATAAGATTTGATAATTTTTCATCAAGTATAACTATATCTAAAGGGAGTTCTATTTTATTTTCAGTACCAGGGACAACTAGATAGTTCCTATCTTCTATTTGTAGAAAGAATTCTGCAAATTGGGTCTGCTTTAAGTTTTGATTCACATCATTAGTTTGGTGAAGTCTTATTTAATTGTCAATTTTATTACTCTTAGATGTTTCTATAAAGAAGATCGGGGTAAGCTAGCAGAGACAACTTCTGTATGAGATCTATAAAGTATAATAGATAATACTTAACAAAAATCACCACCAAAGACAAAGACTTTTTTGCCAAATGGTTTATCAACTTGAAGAATATCTTGAAATATATGGTAAAGTGCTTCAAAGGCAAACTTATTGACTATTGGGGCTTTATCCCAAATAAAAAGTTTTGTCAAGCTGATTAAACGGGCTTCTTTGCTATTTCATGAAATATTGTATATTGAGGATTTATCAGGTCTTAGTGAAATTTTAAAATGGCTATAGGCCGTTCATCCGTCTTTTATTAAAAGAGCAGCAATTCCTGAAGAAGTGATAGCTAAAGCTATATTTCTTTGTGATCTAATACTGAATAACAAAGTATTATACAAAAATATTTTTCCAGCATCATCCAATTCATCAATGAAAAAATATTGACTTTTTTCATGTTCAATGGTCTGTGTAATAGCATTAAATATCACATGTTGGTCATCATTTAATAAAGATAAATTTTGGTTTAATTTATTTTCTAATTTTGTGATATTATATGATCTTTCTTCTTGTATTAGCTGATTTAAAGCATCTTCATTGTTATAAGTATTTGATGAATTTTCAGGAGGAATTGGCATATTTGAAAAATCTTTTAAAGATTTTCCATTTAATAAAAGTAAAACATCTAATAGAGTAAGTGCTTCTTGTTCAATTGCAGTAGTAATACTAAAATCTTGATTTTGTAATTGTGGATTATTTCAGTATAAAAGATCTTCATATAAAGCTAATTTATAAGTAGACCATAATAATTTAGGCTTTACAGGATGGCAAAAAAGAAGTATCGTAGCAAATAGGTGTTATAATTGGGGTCCTGTTTGTATTGCACTTGCATTAAACAGGCATATATCCCATTCTGCATCATCTTGAAGAAGTCCTAATAGGAAGTATGCTTCTTTGAAGCTCTCACAGTAGGGTTCGAGGCATGGGTAAAAAATTAGGCATGCCTTTGAGGGCATGCCTTTGAGAGCATGCTCTGAGTTGCGGCATGCCCCTTGTGTCTATAGGCATGCCCTTTTTATATAGATAACTAGTGCTTTGTAAATGTTTAATATAAAAAAATTCTGTTGCTAGAATTATAGTAATTTATTGTAAATTAGTGTAAAAAATTTTTCTAG